GGGGTACCCCCTATTCTGGGAAATGCCCATTCGGGTTTGGGAATTCAGACAAGGCTTAGGGTTTAGGGTCGTCCGCCTGGCGCTTAGCTATAGGGTTCTACATCCAAAGCCGTAGCACTTACAACCCCAACTAGAACGCCTAGCGATTTGCTGACACCTGTTCTAAGCCCTAAACCCTACACCCTAAACCACGAACCCTTGGGAGCACCTCCCTTCTGAGGCAAGCCCAGGAGCAGCGCGGGAGTTGAAGATAATCATCATTGAGAGCAGCTTCAGCCACCTTTCATCTTTGCAGTTCAGAGTCTCGGGTTTCGCATGGCATGCACAAACCCATGAAGCCCTAAAGGCCCTACTATAAACCCCAAACCCTGTCGGCTCTCACCAGGGCTTGGCGACCCCACACCGAAACGCGATGTAAGCCAACAAGGTATTGTTGAGGGCGTAGAGATAAGGGCCGACGGGGAGGTTGTAAGTAGCCTTTTACAGTCCCAGATTGGGGCCAAGCGTGTTCCACCTCACTTCTGGGGTTCAGAGTTCCAGGCTTTCTCCCCTATAGGGGTCCGAAAACCTCAGAACACCTGGATCCCAGAGTCACCAAAACGTACTAAACGTGCTGTGAAGCACGAAAACACCAAGATGCCCGAAAGCCTTACGCCAAACACGTCTAAACGCCAGGTACAAGTGGACCCTTAAAAAAGGCTCTGGCCCTAATAGAGAAACCACCTTCATCAGGGTCCTCCGGCAAAAAGCCCTGAATTCCGCACAGGCCACGCTCTGCAATGGTTTTCCATTGAAACCCTGAACTGTTAAGGGTTTCGGGTTGTTTGGGTAACCCTAAACCCTGAACCTCAAACCGAGCTTTATCCGCCGACCGCCGTTGGCGTCAGTGGAAACTCACCCTTGCAGTAGCACTGCCTCCACTGCCCCCACCGCCCTCGCAAGCGCCCTTGCACCTGCTGTGGATGAGTGAAACGTACCGCCACTCTCAATGCTCCCCCCCACCATTTTCGTGTTTTGCGTAAAATGGGATAGCTATGGATACCCCCCAAAGGGAGCGCATCATGAGCATCAGCGGGTTCAGTCCGGGACCCCGCACCACGCATCAGGAGCCAGTCCGGGACCCCGGGCGCGCATCATGAGCATCAGCGGCTCCAGCCTTGGATGACGTGGCAGCCCACGCATGCATAGACTTTTCCTCAGTGTGGCTGTGGGTCTCGTGGCGCGGTTTCCGCTGGGTTTTCTGGCATTTTTAGCCTTCTTAAGGTTGTGGCTTGGGGTTTCGAGGTCTTTCATCTCAAGGCCTGTTTAGGGTTGAAGGTCGTGGCTTTGACATGACCCCGGCGCCAAACAAAGCCGCCTTCAGCTGACCGCGCGCCAGGCGGGGGCGCGCACGCGCGAGCGCGCCCCCTGCCTGGTTTGGTGCCAGCCTTTAAAAGCACAAAAAGAACAACTCTTTCCTCGAGCTTCTGCCTGCGCTGCCCGCCCATGGGCGCAGCCCCTTAAAATATGCTAAAACCCCAAGCCCCAAACCTCGACCGCAAGAGCACCCTCAACGCGTGACCCCAAACCCCTAAAGCTCCTAAAACCTAAACTCCAAACTCCCAAATGAACCTAGACTTTCCATGCGGGAGCTGTTTGCTGTTCAGGAACTTCATTTGAGGTACCTTTGGATGTTCCCCGTTATACCAACAGACCTTAGTAGGGGTTTCAGTACCCCCTATTAAACTCCCTGTTAAGAACTGTGACTGTTAGTATAAGGGGGAACATCCCAACAGGTACCCTACTTTGGGGCATCATTCCCTCCAACCATGTTCGGAGGGTTGTTGAAAGGTTGTTTGTAAAGTTGTGTCTTTTTAAGTGTTGCTCAAGGGTTTTCGGCGTTTTGAGACACCGCCAACTATGTCCAATCAATATAAGCGCGACGCCCCCTCCACCGTAAACCCCGAAACCCTAAACCCTAACCCCCTCCCCCGAAATCTCTCGAGCTTGGCGCCTGCTGGTTCCCCAGTCGTGGCTCAGAAAGAAATCCTTGAGGTTTGCGGGTTCAAGGGTTTGACGATTTTGGGGTTTAGGGCGCGTAGGACTTTGGGTTTAGGATTGAGGGGTTTAGGGTTTCGGGTGCATCGGCCGCCTACTAATCCCTGAACAGTAGTGGTCCCTGACATGAGAACTCAACTCTAGCAAACGCAAAGCCCTAAACCCTAAAACTCTACTGCATGAGAGTCGCCAGGTATTACTTGGAGGCGCAGGGGTCTGTCTCTTTAGCCGGAGAAGGTATCTTGGGTAGCTTGAAAAGTGAGAGGCTCCTATGTAGACCTGGGGAGGCAGGGCTGTAGCTGAAAGGAGTCATAAACAAGCTCCGAAGGCCACAAAAGCTCGGAGGGACCCCTTATCACAAAGGGGGGGGGAGGGGGGGGGCGGGCACTTGGGGTAGCAAGGTGCGGAGGAACGCCCTACTGAAGTTCTCCGACTATCTTTCAACTATCTTTCAACTCCATCACCTGGAGAGAGGACCCTCTGTGTTGCAGCATATGGTTGAAGAGTTTGGGGCTTAGGGTTCTGGATGCGTCCTGCGAAACCCTACGCCCTAAACCCTGAACATACATCTCTTGAACAAATTCAGGGGAGTCGTCATCCTACAGTCCACATCCCCATGGCTCAAACTCTGGCCACCAACTACTTTCATATGCTTTTAGGGGGAAGGGTTTTGGGTGTTTCGGGTGCAGGGTTGAGTTAGGGTTTAGGGTTAGGGTAGAGGGTTTAGGCTTGCAACCGGGGCATTAGAGCCTCTACTTCTCGTAGCCTTGAACCCGACCGAAAACCGGAACCACATCACCCCGCACCCTGTCAACTTCTGCACCTGAAGCCACAAAGCACCAACAGGCCGAGGTTCGTAGGTCTCGATCTGCTGTCCAAGCGCGTAGCTGCGCTCGTCCACATTGAACCTGGTGAGGGGCTTGCTTGGAACCACGCGCCGTAAATTTTTCTCAACACGACAAGAGCAGGGCTCTTGCTGAGGACCAAGCAAAGACCGATGCTGCTAAGTGCTGCGTGGATTGACACTAAAGCTTGAAAGCAAATACATCCCCACTAAACTCTGATAAGTACAGCCAGGAACGGCCTAAACCCCATTCTACCTTGCAACTTCTCCAGCCCGCAACCCTGACCCTGCCATCCAGAAGTGTCCAAGGAGCATGGCACCCTCCTTCTGAGACCAGTGCCTGCGAGGGGTTTTAGGTTTAGGGCATTCGGCTTTAGGATTTCATGCCTGTAGGGCTTCATTTTGTGGCTTAGGCCGTTAGGCTTTTACGGCTTAGGATTTACGACTTTTAGGCCTTGTAGGGCCATTGTAGCGGTCAGCCAAAGCTTCGTGCGGGGATTTGGGGAAATTCAAAGCTTGGGTACAGGGGGCTGTTCCAATTAGTGGCCACATCTTTTGGCTTTTGTTTAACACCCCCCTAAACAGAGGCCTGATGATACAACAGCCCCCGCAAAACTCGAAACCCTGAACCCAAAGTCCCCGCCAAGCCTTGAACAACCCTCCAGGTTTGATTGTTTAGGGTCCCTCCGAGAACCTTGAATCCGAGCCCCCGGACCGGTCTAGGCTTTGGATATGGGGTGTAGGTTTTAAAGACCGGTGGCCTCTTTATCCGTTACCCTTATACCTGAATAAAGCCGCTAGACCCTCAGAAGAGCCCTGACTACAATGCGCCTATAAAACAGAAGCCCTGAACCCTAAACCCTAAACCCTAAACCTACTGAAAGAGACCGCCAGCCCATATAAGGGTGTAGGGCTTAGAGCTGAAGGTTCCCGGAAGCCCGGGATGGCCCCAAATGCCTGAACCCCTACAAGGGTTTAGGGTTTGGGGTTTAGGGTCCAGGGTTTAGGGTTTAGGGTTTAGGGTAACTATTCTTTCTGGATCCTTAAGCCCTGAACTTCCTCAACCCCTTGGATCCCTGAACCCCCCCCCAATAAACTTCCCGAGCACCCCTAAAGCCTGTAAACCCGTAAACCTCACACCCTTCACCCTGAAACCCTAGAACCCAAACCCTACCCGAAGCCTTAAACCCAAAACCCAAAACCCTAAACCCTAGCCCTAAACCCTAAACCCTAAACTCTCCAGACGAGGCGCTTGGCCCAGCCACTGAGGCAAACATGGAGGGGCACCCCACGGAGGAGCTCAGGCTCCAACTGGGCTTTCAGCTTAGGGTTTAGTGTTTTTAGGGTTTAGGGTTTTTAGGGTTTAGGGTTTGGGGTTTAGGGTTTAGGGTTTAGGGAGGGGTGTTTGGGACGTTGGGGAATCCTAAGCTCTCAGCATTTGGGGAGGTTCTTAGGGAGGGTTCTTGGGTTTTCGGCCTTGGGGCCACATAGTCACCCTAAACCCTAAATAACCCTATAACCCCATAACCCTATAACCCTACAACCCTATAACCCTATAACCCTAAATAACCCTATAACCCCATAACCCTATAACCCTAAACCCTATAACCCCAAGTCGGCAAGCTCAAGCTCCAACAATCAGAAAAACATGTGGGCCCTTGAGGCTTCCGGAGCCCTCGGCTTGGAGGTTCGTGGCAGTGAGAACCACGGCGAACAGGTTTAGGGTTTAGGGTTTAGGGTTTAGGGTTTAGGGTTTAGGGTTTAGGGTTTAGGGTTTAGGGGTTAGGGGTTAGGGGTTAGGGTTTAGGGTTTAGGGTGTTTAGGTTGAGAGCTTAGAATCTAAGAGTGCTTGCGACTGGGATTGTATGACATAGCACGCGCCCTCCCTCTCTCTCTCTGTATATACACGTATACATATTGTGGGTACAAACGTATGTGTATAAATATACACATACATAATATGATTCTGCATATAGAAAGTGATGATATGAATCGCTCACCATACATATGCTACTTTTGAAAAGGTTGAAGGGCATTCTTTGCTCCAGGGAACCTTCCTCGTAGGCAATGGGGAGCAACATGCGCTTTACACTGGGGATCCCTTTGGCTGGCACCCCTCTCAATTCAGGCACGGGGCGTAGGTGTGCAGGGATGTAATGCTGGTGATGCTCGCGCGGAACACCATGATGCCAGCCGCCAATCTAGCGCTTCGTCCCTTTGCATACACCAAGAAGCAGCAAACCTCTTAAGGGCATGTGACGAAGCTGGTTGGGCCTTGTTTGCGTCTGGGTTTAGGGTGTAACGGTGTAGGGCTTGGGGTACGTGGTTGTTTGATGCTCTTTGTCTTTTGCCCATGGCTGTCTGCTCACAACCACCCTAAAAACCTGATCTGTGCTCAGGGATCACTATCCACCAGCACTCACCTACGCTTGTGGCGGAGGGCCTTACAGGTTGGTCACCCAAGGCCCTCCCTGAGCCATTCATGTATTCAGAGGGCTGCGTTGCTCAGGGCTAGGGTTACGGCTAAGGGCTGTATCTAAGGGGAAACCCCCGCATGAAACGGTCGAAAAATCCGTGAAAAGTCAGCCATAGTCTGCCAACAGTAGTCTTATGACTAGGGGGTCTAAGGGCCGCAGTCTAGGGTTTAGGGTTTAGGGCGGCTCTTCGAATATAGGAATGCCGAACCTCGGAGAAAAAAACTCAAGCACCAATGCTAAAGCGACTGAGCCCCAAACTCCCTATACACCCTTACACGCAACACAAAATACCAAAACCCTAACCCCCTAAACCCTATACTTGAAAATCCGTACATCTCCAGACCCGAGACCCCCTGCGTCCTAACCAAATATCCCATACCAGAGCGGTCAACGCGCCATTCTTGCTGCTGAATTTTTGGGGGAGGCCAACCCAGTCTTCAGAAATCCCCTGCACCCTAAACCCTAAACCCTTTATTAACCCTAAACTATCAGACTTCCGTCCGCTGTACCCAAAAACACCATTCTACGAGTACTTGAGCAGCTTAGATGGGCAGTTTGCTGAACCGTTTTGAGGTACACTAAGCATAAGGCTCAGGATGACAGTAGCCCAAAACAGGCCATAAACCCGCAACCCGGAACCAGCTTAGAACAACCCCATCTTAGAACAACCCCATCTTAGAAGTTTTTAAGCGACCAAAAAAACGCTAAACCGTAACCCTAAACCCTATACCCTAAACCCTAAACCCCCCCCTATTCGAAGTCTTGGTCGCAAGCTTGCCCTTGCCATTACCGCCAACGATGCCGATCTTGTCGCCGGGACTCAGTTTCAATGTGGGTTGGCGTTTAGGGTTTAAGTTTAGGGTTTAGGGTTTGGGGTTTGGGGATTGGGGTTTAGGGTTTAGGGTTTAGGGTCGTTCAGCATGGCTTTTATTTTTGTCGTATCACAGGCCTTGAAGATTTATTGCAAATAGGGCCCCTAAACCTCTGAAGCCCGGAGCCTATAGAAGCCGTGCAGCCTACCCTGGGCATTTCGTTCTCTCAGTGCGTTCAGGGCGTGCAGTTTGGGGAGCAGCCTCTCACCTGGCATGTTGATGATTTGCCTTTGTTGGGCGCAAGGGTTGCCATATACCTAAACCCTAAACCCAACCCCAAAACCGACTGTACACCCATGTAGCTTAGAGTTGCCTCAAGGCCCCATAACTTGGATCATAACACAGAGAGAGCCAAAAAATCGAGACATGGTTTTTTTCTCGCCCCCCCTCCCCCTGTACTCCTAAATCTCGAAGCCACTAAGCCTGAAACCGAACCTTCTTGTTTGAACCGTAAACCCTAAACCCTCCAACCCGACAACCCTACACCCTAAAGCTGTTCAAAACCCTGCCCAAGTTTTCTAGGTTGCCTGCGAAAATCCCCGATGTTGCGGCACTCAAGGCAGGGTTCCATCGAAAGCAAACCGGCACCCTGCCCCGGAACCCCTCGTGATCCTCCCTAAACCCCAAACCCTCGAACTTAGGGTTTGGGGTTTGGGGTTTAGGGTTAGGGGTTTAGGGGTTTGGGGGTTGAGGGGTTAGAGTTTAGGGGTTTAGGTAAACCCTAAACTTCAAAACCGAAAAGCATCAGCCCTTCATCCCCAAGCCCTAAACCCTCTATACCCCCCCCCCCCCCCAGGTTCCCCTCTTAAACAACCTTAATTGGGTTGTATTATCCCTAAATAGCCTCAATTATGGGGGAACCTGGGGGGGGGGGGTAGTACAGAGGGGTAGTAGGGGAACCGATGAGAAACCCTCAACGCTATGCACCCTGATGCCCTGAGCCCATACGGTAAGGGGTCTAGGATGTCAGGGTTACGCCCGGAAGCCACCCAGCGAGGCCCACGCCAGACCTGGAAGTCGCAGTCCTGACATTCAGAGTTGAGGGCGTTTCCTTGAACATGGGGGGGATGTAGGTTTAGGGTCTAAGTCTAGGGTATCCCGTATATACCCAAAGAGAATCATAATTGCCGTATGACTGCAAGGTGGGGCTGCGGAGGGATTTTCCGGCGATCACAGGGCTACCCGACTGGCCTGGGGTAACTTGCAATCAAGCGAACCCTCAACCCTGGACCCTCAACCCCGGGGTCAGTCCAACTTCCCCCACCCACCTTGAGGAGTTCGTACTCAGGCGCAGTCACGTCATCTCCATAGCCGTGGTTGACACCCCGCAACTGCAGGAAGGGTGCAGGCTTTCGAATCCCTCCGAGTTGTGCTTTATAGTAACAATCACCAAATGCCAAGAAGGCTTGTTGGTTAGCCCTGCTATCGAAGCAAGCAGCCCCTACTCAGCAGGCAACACAGCTGTGACAGAAACCTGAAGAAGCCTAATTAGGGTTTGTAGGCTAGGATGTTCCCCCTATGCTAGCAGTCCTTAATAAGGATTATAGTACCCCCTATGATAATCCCTATGAAGGACTGTCAGTATTAGGGGGAACATCCCAACCCTAAACCCTAAACCCTAAACCCTAAACCCAGAACCCAGAAAACCCTAAACCCTGTAAACTCTAAACCCCAATTCATAGGGTTCAGGGTGGGGGTGGGTGGGGGCCTCCGCGAGGATGTCGAGGTTCCCGCCGCCGCGGTGCACACGCTCCGGCTCGGGGAACCTGGCGCTCGAAACCTTCCCAAAGCCTCAGAAACCCCCAAAACTCCCAAACCCTAAAGCCCAAACTCCTAAACCCTATACCCTAAACCCTAGAACCCTAAACCCTATAATCCTAAACACTGAACCCAACAACCAGAATTCTCAACCCCTGAAGCCCTGAAGGCTTCTTGGGTTTCGGATTTCCTTTTGCTTGGGGGCTTTTGGGCTTTAGGGCTTTAGGGCTTTAGGGCTTTAGGGCTCCAAGGCTTCAAGCGCCTCGGGAGGCTTTAGGGGGCATAGGGGGTTTGGGTGTTTAGGGCTGAGGCTTTCGGATTCCGGGTTAGACACTTAGGGTTTATGGTTAGGACTTGCGTAGCACCAGAGAGGCTTTGGGAAGAACCCGAAGGCATTTGGCCGAACGCCGAAAGAAACAGCAGCGACGTGAAGAACCCTGCAAGATCTCGCAAAGCCCGACACATGCCAACAGCCCGCAACTCCAGTCGCCCCGAGCTCGATAAAGCTCCTAGGACATGATGTAGGGGCTTATTTCGCTAGAGTGGGGTTGGGGCGAGTGGGCAGTTTACACTGTCAACGTGTTCCAGGGACTGCTAGGGGACGATGTTGATTTGACAAGCCGTGAGCAACAAGAAAAACGCCGCACACACCGAACCAGCCGCCTGAATGAAATGCGTTTGACCTCAGCTTCAAGGTCTGCGGCTGAACGCTATCGGCATGTTGCGGTTCGGATCTTGCTGCGGGTTTGGGGTTTAAACAATCACTTTGGGGTTTATAGCGGTCCTCTCAAGGTGCAGTCAGTGTGTATCGAATTCAGCAGAGACGAAATGTTTGCACCGCTTGTCAGACCATGGATGGCGTGACCGGTTCAGCCAAGGGGGGGAAAGGGGCATCCGATTCCTTCTGCTCGCATCGCCTGTGGGCAGTTGCACCCGATTTTCATAGTATAGGTTACCTGGTTAACTTGTCATCCTATGTAAAAGTATCCCGTTCGGAGGAGACACCACCCCCTTGGTACCAGTAGCACCATGTGGGGAAGCCATAAACCTTAAATAGCCCACAACTAACATCTCCAAGAGACGACACATTCACATGGCGGTTGGTCTCATCTTTGTGCCCTGTTGGGCTCTATCCTAGAAGATCCTCCCAATATTCTCGGGAACCGCCCAAACAAACCCATAACGAGATGAACCCCCACGTCGGATCCGAATGTCGGACGCTCCGAGTGTCAGTGGACCAACATGTGGCTCAACCTCGGAGCCCTAACTTGCAAAGCCATAAAAGCTTAAAGCCGCAACACCAAACAAGCCCGAACCGTAACCACTGCCCCCCCTCCCCCTCCTCCCCCCCCCCCGCCCTCCCGGCCCCCAAAAAAGAGCCAACTTCTCTGACCCCAAAGTGAGTTGGGCGAACTTGAGTTGCAACCAGGGCACGAAAGCTGGAGGCGGGTCCATGGCATTCCTGTGTAAGACTTCGCAGTAGGGTTTAGGGTCTGAGGCTCCGCGGCTTGTTCAAGATTTGGCTTTGGGGGCTCAATTCCTGTAAAAACCGCCCAAGGCACAAGACCAAATCCCAAAGCACTCTCTCTAAATGGGGGTTGGCAAAATTTCTGGATCCTTTTTGAAGGGTTTAGGGCACTTCAGGGTTTAGCTAAGTTTAGGGCCTAGGGCTTGAGACAAAGCAATTACCCCATCCCTTAAAAGCCTGGCAATGAGTGCACCGACCCTTCAGGAAGCCCAGGGCTTGTATGGTTTGGGGATGTTTGGGGTGTAGGGTTTGGGGAGGTCTTCAGGCTGAGATTCCTAAACCCACACGTAAGCTCTGCCCACGAAGTTTGTCCGGAGAAGAACTGCGCGATTTGTGCGCGTGCCCCGAGCCCAGCAAGTGCTGTAGATCTTGGAAGGGGAGGAAAGGAGTCGAGAAGCGGAATTTCCCAGATGTGCCCTCATAGCCCTGCAATAGCAGCTCAAACCCTCAACCCTCAACGCTCACGCTGAAGCAGCACTCGCGGACGAACATCCTTGCGCGCACCCCATGTTTCATCTCGTACTATCCTATACCATGGTATGTGATACGACATTCCTGAGAACTACATACTTGTACTAAAATATGCTTATTCTCTCAGCCCTGGAACCCTAAACGCTGAAACCTAGAACCCTAAACCCTCATTCGCGCATTCGAGCCCTATAGAAAGCCCTTGCGAACGCCGCTCCCCAGTCTCAGGGGCCCTGCTCCATCAACTCATCCAACTCCTTGCAGGGCTTAGGGTTTTTTGGGGGTTTAGGGTTTAAGGGGTGTAGGGGGTTTCGGGTTTAGGGGCTTAGGAGAATGTAAAGTGGTTGGTGGGGAGCTTAGGGTTTTATCTAAGGCAGCTCTTCGATCCTCTCGGGGGTTCGGGTGGGTTCGAAAAGTTTCGGCTCGAGGGTGCATTTGGGGGTTTAGGGTTTAGGGTTTAAGGGTTAAGGGTTTAAGTTTAAGGTTTAGGGTTTAGGGGCCCGAAGCCCCTAAAACACAAAGTTCAGGGCCCTCAAAGCAGGACCGGGCCAGACGAGGAGGCGTGTTCAAAAATGGAACAAGCCGACAAACCCCTTGGGGCCTAGGGTTTGCAGGGTTTAGAGGTTCAGATGCCTCGTCCTCAACCGGGAACCCCGAGCCGTCTTTCTTGATTCTGTCTCGTTTTGGGTACCGTGTTACAAAAGGAACTCCTCAGCCCAAAACTACGTGAACAACTTTTCAATCCTCTGAGTCCCAACCAGCGCAGACATAAACCCATTGACCAACGGTACTTGCAGCTTCATCGGTACCTTTTCGTCGGGCCAAAGCAACCTGTACCATAACCCTATCGACCTCCAAGCAGGTAGGAAGACTACTCGCTCTGGAATTTCCTCTCTATCCCTTGCTCGGCGTAGGGCCTAGGTTTGGTTACAGGGCCTACCTGCCGAAAAACGTGCCATGTGCAACTCGCTGCAACGGTCACTGTGCTCTCAGGTTTTTGGTCATGGCTCATGGGTTTGAGGCTTCAGGGCTGGGCTGTGGCTCATGGCTTTGGGCTTAAGGCTAAGGGTTTAGGGCCTAGGGCGTGTATGATTTGGGGGTCTTCTCAATGCGCCTGCCTTCATGCGCTTCTGCCGCGTGTTGGCAAGAGACTGCACACCTGTGGCTGTGCGGAAGCTAGGCCTAAGCAGCCCAACCGCGAAAACGAACAAGAGTTATAGAACTATGTCATAGAACTATAGAAAGACAGGACATGCTAGTAGGTATAAAAGGGTTACTGAAAAACTGCCTTTTTGCGGGGTTGTTTTCCTTAAGTCTAGGACCTAAACCCTAAACTCTAACCCCTAACTGGTAAGCCAGATGAGACTTGAGACCCTTAGGCTCAGACATAACCCTGGACAAAAAGTTTAGAGGTTTAGGGCTGTAGGGATTTGAAATTAGGGCTTCATGGGGTTCAGGGGTTCAGGGGGCCTCGACATACCTCTGCAACCGCCCGCCGAAGACCACTGGGGTTAGGCGTGCTCCCTAAACCCTACACGTGCTCGGTCAACTTCTTATAGATCCCAACAACCCACTAACCCGCAAACGGATCCCACAGGGAAATACGGAAGCACAAAACCACTCAACGCCCAACCCCGAAGCCAAAACTCCTCAAACCCGAAACCCCAAACTTCAAAACCAACCCTAAACCCTAAATCCTAAACCCTAAACCCCCTTTCAAACATCTTGCATTACTAAACCCTGAGGATCGAAACTGTTGGAGCCTCGGTTTACCTTGATGAACTCCTCAAGCTCTTTCTTCTTCTTTTCCTGGACAAGCACAGAGCCGGTCTAGGTTTAGGGTTTAGGGTTTAGGGTAGGGGTTTAGGGGTTTAGGGTTTTGGGTTTCGGGGTAAAACCTCCACATGACTCAGGCCTGAAGATCAAACTTCTTCTTCCAGTCAGCCATCTTCTGTTCCTTCTGCCGGATGAAGTCGGTGTAGTTGCCTGTGCCCACCACGAGGATGCCCCACACCCGAAACCTCCAAACTCTCATAAAATCCCGAACCCTAAACCTGCTTACTCGGCCGTAAAGGGCCCCAAACCCTAAACCCGAAACCCTAAACCCTAAACTCTAAACCCTAAACCCTGGTGTTCAGAGTGCCTTTGTAGGTGTACGTCATGCCCTCGACTGTCTCGACCACTCCTTGGATGCTGGCATCGATGGGGCCAAGGGATTGGGGGGGGGGCTGTTTCAGGGTGAGGTTCTGGGGTTTAATTAGGATTTAGGGTTTAGGGTTTAGGGCTTAGGGTTTAGGGTTCATGTTTGCATGGCTGCGAGGCGAACACTAGAATCCATGAAGCATCATGCCTGCGTGTTCCACATCCGCATCCCAAAGCCCAAGCGCAAGCTATCCAACAGACACCCGCAAGCCCCCATGCCTATGGGTATAACGGTATAACCCTAAACCCTAAACCCTACACCTATGAGGCCCTGAAAGCCTTGCAAGCCCTGAAGCCTGGCCACTCCGACTTCATGCACGCTAAGGCGGTAGCTTTGACATCGTGGGAACGGGGGTTGAGTACTTTGAGATCTCTCGGCTTGTTTGACACCATGTTTGGTTGTCATTTTCTTGTGAGATTCCATACTCGGTGGTCTTCTGCCATATGCGCAATTCACCGAAAACGTGCTGGGCACCTAACTCCAGCTAAGCCCTAGACCGTCCTAGACCCCAAAGCCAGCATGAGCCCCCCGTCAAGCTCGTAACTGCCAACAGGTCGCTGTTGCATGTGCGGTTCATGAACTCACGGTCGTGCGTCACTACCTTGGCAACCAAGAAACCTTCTAAATAAAGCAAGCGGCAGGAATGGGATCTAGGGCTTGGTCTTTGACTGCGATGTCTGAACACTACATGGGCTCGATTTAGGGTACCCTTTAAAGGGCCATCTTTTTGGGACAACCCTGAACCCTGTAAAACCAAGACCTCAGGCACATAAACCAGAACCCAAAACCCGAAGACTTCAATCCTAAGCCCTGGCTCTGAGCCCTATTTTCTGTTGGGTTTCTTTTCGCTGTTGCTTGGCCACCTTGTTCAGAGCGGAGTGGGGGGGACCCCTTACGGCCTGAGGGTGTGAGAGGTGTTGGGGGGACTTTAGAGTTCGGGGGTCGAGCTTGGGATGGGAGCCTTCGAGCCTCGAAGCCCAAACCTTTCCGGCTTTAGGAGCTTTAGGGCCTTTACGGTTCAGGGTTGGGCTGTTCCCCCGTATTACAATAGGGGGTACTATAATCCCGATGAAGGACTGCTTGTCTGAGGGGGAACATCCCAAGTTTAGGTTTTAGGGCTAGAGCTCAGGAGAAAAAAGGCCCGCGAAAGCTGCGCGACGGGAGTCGGACAAACACGGGGCCTGGAGCTTGGGCGGGTGAAGTCGAGGGACACGAGACCTTTAACAGCCCCAAGCCCCTAAACCCCACACCCTTTACAGCGTAGAAGTTTCAGGACCAGGCATGTTAGGATTTCTACTTGGGGGTCTAAAGCTCAACGGGCTGGTGCTTTAGGTAAACCCACGTCCCTAAACCCTAAACCCCCCGAGCTTCGTGCGACGACCGGGCTCTGCAAAACTCTGATGAACTTTTCGAGCCACTCAACCTGGCAGTCCATGAGGGGGCCAAGGCCAAAGACATTACAACTACAGAGGTCTCGGTTGGGATGTTCCCCCTTGTACTAACAGCTCCTCACTAGGGATTCTCGTACCCCCTGTTATAATCTCCATTAAGGACTGTTATTTTTAGGGGGAACATCCCAACTTTAGGGTTTAGGGCTCCGGGTTTAAGGAGGGTTAACGGGTCTGAGCACAACCGCAACTGTGAATCAGCGACGGCCCCTAAACCCCAGATCCTGAACCCTAAACCCTGAACCCTAAACTCCAAACCCTAAATCCTGAACCCTAAACCCCAAACCCTAAATCCTGAACCCTAAACCCTAAAGCCTGAAACCTAAACCCCTAAGAAGGGCCACAGCAAATCGTCGGTCGACCGCTTCAAGGTCCAGGTGGTTCGTCGGCTCGTCGAGGAGGAGGATATCAGGCCTGGGGGAGGCAGCAAGCTGAAAGACGGGAAAAGGTTTAGGGTTGGGGCCTTCGAGATTTTGGGGCCTTAGGGTTGCCGGGGGGCCGGATGTAACCCACGAGGTGGGAAGGGGGCAGAGTAGCAGCTAGAATTTTCGAATTTGCAGCAGGTGTGAAATGACAGACGAATAATAAAATTAAACCCCTAAAGTCTCCTCAGGACCCTTTGCAAGAAAGCGACGCAGAAAGAGGCTGAGAGAGAGAGAAAGAACCAAAAAGGGAGGGATGGACAAAAAACGGAACAGAGAGAGAAGGGCCATCACCAAGACCCTTTCCAGCCAAACTAGGTTAGGGAGCTTCGGGCCGGGTAGACTTCTTGTAGGATAGCGAAGGATCGAGATGGGGCCGGGGACCCTGCTCATCAGGGCATTGGGGGAAAGGCGAGGGGGGTTTGGTGGCCACAGAAAGGGTTTGGTGTTGGTGGTTGCTGGACCGTGGTTGCTGAATCAAGAGATTAGGGAGGGCCTGGATTCGTTAAGCTTGATGGCGCAGTCTATCAAACTTACTTCTCCGTAAGCCAATCTTTGGATAATTGCTCTTGGCGTTCCTTTCGGTGTAGACTTTAGGGTGCTTACCCAGGGGCAGACTCCGGGCGTTCGAAGAGAATCTTTAAGAAACAATGTATTCCTCCAGGCCCTGAACAAAGGGCAGCGCACAGAAGTCTGAGCCCCGGACGACCGCATCAAGATCTTGCTGACACCGATTCGGACCTGGATGAGTTTAGAAAGGCTCAAGGGCCCAAGGCGACTCACCGAGTCAACCCTTTCAAGCAGTCAACTGGTGCAAAAAAGCAGGCTGCCATCTGGGGTTTTGGGGTTTAAGGTGTAGGCTATAGGGTTTAAGGTTTTGTTTGTGTACTAGCGGTACAGGAGATAGGATGTAACGCTTCGGGGATACACTTGGCCTAACACCCCAAACCCATCGGTCACCCTTTCTTTATACCATATGATGGCCACTCCAAGTTGCACCAACAGACCCGCCATCCCGATCGGAGAAAGCCAAGCAATGTCAACCTGACCTCGTCCACAAACCCTGAACCCCACACTCTAAACCACAAACCCCAAACCCTTTGTAAATACCCTACCCGGGGCATTTTGTCTCCTGTCGTGGAGGGGGCCCCTTCTGCTGCCCTGCTGAAAAGGCAGTCATAGGAGGGTTTAGGGTTTGGGGTTGTACAGGAGGTTTGGGGTTGTACAGGACCTCAGTCCTCCCAGCCCTAAACCCTAAACCCCAAAACCCTAAAACTCACGAGCCTTCCATCCGCCGCTGAAGAGGCCGACCTCTCCAGGCTGGAGAGGGTTTAGGGTTTAGGGTTTCGGGTTCAGCAGCTCCGGATCGAGCAGTTTTACGGCTCTGATATAACACCCACTGACCCAGAGAATCCCATAACATTGAGAAAACTAAAATACAAGTGTTCTCCAATCATCTCAGCTTCAAAGGCTTATGCTTGAAACGAACGGACACAACAAAAACACCTAATATTGTTAACTTCATTTTCTTGCCACTGCGTCAGCCTCCCCACGCCCCAAACCCCAGGCCTTGAGGCCCTGAAGGCCTTGAGACCCTAAACTGCAGGCCTTGAGACCCTGAAACCCTAAACCTCAGGCCTTGAGGCCCTGAAACCCAGGCCTTGAGACCCGTAAACCCCAGGCTGAGGCCTGAAACCCGAAACGCCAGGCCTTGAGGCCCCGAAACCCAAAACCCCAGGCCCTGTGGCCTTGAAACCCTAAACCCCAGGCCTTAAACCACGAACTATTGGCCTTAAACCACGAATATGGGTATGGGCCTCAAGCCACGAATTATGGGCCTTACACCACGAATTATTATGGGCCTTAAACCACGAACAATAACCAGACCCGTTTCGTCGTTTAAGGCCCATAATTCGTGATTTAAGGCTGAAGGGAACGACTGGCCTTAAACCACGAATTGTGGGCCTTAAACCACGAAGGTCATTAAAGTTTCAAGGTTTAGGGTTTCGGGCCCTGGGATATCCCCCGGGGCGGGCAGTTTGTTTTGCGCGCATGGTTCACTTAAACCCCACATTAACAACTTCGAAGGGCCTACCTTGGGCTTCAGGCCGCCTTTTGTTGCTTTTGGATTGCGGGCTGATCTCTTTTGTTTGTGCGGGATCAGGTCTCGGGATAGGGGGCCTGAAGGCTTCTGGGAAATAGGATGCGGCACTTGGGGGGGGGGGGGGGGCGGCATGTGCATTCAAACTCGTGGGCCGTCTTTTTTCATGCCCTGGAGCCTCAAATTCAGATCATCCCCCCAAAGGAGGCCACGGAGGCATTGTCAAATGAAAGACCTCACCGAGGATCCCCCAAACTCTGCCTGCACTCTGATGCACTCAGCAACCCGAAGCCCTAAGCCCGCCCCACAAGGCCCACAAGCCCTACAAGCCTGAAGTTTCTGGGGCCGCAGGCTCGAGGTTCAGGTGTCAGTTTCACGTCGGGGTTTTAGATGCTTAGGCATTGAACATAGGGTTTACGCTCTTAAGGGGGGCTGCGGGGCGTATCCTTCACACTACGATGCGCAACCCTGAGCCCTAGTCCGTAAAGCCCCACGCGCGAAATCCTAGTCCCGCCCTATACATCCAATGTCGCCCTAAACCCCAAACCCCAAATCCTAAAATTTAAGCGCAACTCTTTCGTGAAAAGGTGAGCCTTCCGATCGAGGTCATCTTCTAAGAAGCCTGCCTCAGATTGAAGCTACGTAGGGTTTTCATGGGGTTGATGCCGCTACTAGTACAGGTGTGTAGGGCCCATACGGGTCTATAAGCGTGCTCCAGATGTACATTGGCTTTGGGGATTGATTCAGAGTGCCCCACTAGGCAACAGGAGACGGCGTCTTGCTGATGCTGGTGTGCTTTGGGCCCCTGTGCATAGACAGCAGCAAGGTTTTGAGACGCAGGGCTTAGGCCCCTAAGGCCCTGAGGTTGTACCCTTGGGGGCCCGCCTTCAGTATCGCAGTTGCAGTACCTTGAGCAGTGCAGCCTCACGGGTACGAGTTTGAACCCTGAACCCTTAATCCTACCCACAAGCAAGGGGGGATAGGTGTAACGGTAACTAGGTTCCTCAGCCGCCAGAGAAGAAAGAGGATCCCCCTGGTTTTCCAAAGCGCTCATAAGACATCCTAACTCCTAAGAAGTAGGGGGGATATCACTGCCCTGAGCCCTGCAGCAATGTCTGTCGAACCGCTTGTGGGTACCTTAAAAGAATCCCAACATACCTTTTTAACGACTCTGGAAACCTCCATCTCAACAGGTCTCCAAACCCCTACCCCCGCTACTCCATACCCTAAGCTGGGTGGATGGCAATATTCTTGATCATGTCCAGCTGGTCATCCAGCTTGAAGGTCTGCCAAAGATTGCGCCCAAATCTAGACGCCTATCAGGGCCTGTAGATCCTCAGGTAGGGTTGAGGTGCCTCTCCATGGCTGTACGACTTTGCTTCCTTCATGTTCTCAGCTTGGGAAGCAGCAAACGTCCCTCACCCAACCACAAGAACGGAATGTAATGCAGGATGCAAACAAAATGTCCCCTCACGAGCTCTATATATAAGTAGATTGTAAAAGCTACCCCAACATACCGTTTTAGTCCAAGGCCCCTAAAATCCCAAACCCTGATAGGATTCAGGGGGATGCAACACCTGAGCAAAAAAGGTCGGGACCCAAGCCAACTGGAGACTGCAGCTTGCAGCAGACAGTCACGGAGGTTTAGAGTTCACGGTTTAGAGCTTCGAGCGACCACGACTCGGAATGGTTGTTGGTAAGGTCTCGAAGGTGGTCAGCACGACCAGACGACGACCTGCTAGCTCTTAATTCTTGGGCTAGGGTGTCGGGTTTAGCGTAACCTGTGCAAGGCTCAGCGGCCGCTGATTAGACAAACCTAAACCCTAAACTCCCTAATGTTGAACCCTTTTTAATGTGTTGGCCCCCCATCCCCCTCCCCCTGAACAGTCGAGGCTGGATTTGAAAATGTTTAGACGCTCCCGGGGTTCATATTAATATCATTTTTAATAGGGAGGAGTTTAGATAAGTTTAAAAGGGGCAGCGATGCCCGGCTATCTTTTTTAAAGGCGCGCCACGTGGAATTTTCTTACGGCGCCCGGGCGATCTGTCTTTAAAGAGGGACTCCCAAACAGTCAGTGTGTCCTGAATAATTCAGCAAAATGGACTTAATAGAGGAGGCCCCTACTAAACAGGGTCCAACATTAAACTTCCTAAACTCCCTAAAAACACCTAAAAACCCTAAACCCGGCTGTGAAGCCACGGAAAGGCTCTTTCAACATCTTGCCGGACTTGTCGCAAGCCAAGCCCCAACACTTCTCGGGGTCCGCGTGGCCCAGCTTATTCAGAATTGACAAGGGGCGCCCATCTTTGGATCATGGGGAAATGAAAAACCCTAAGCGCTCTAACCCTGAACCCTCTAACCCTAGAACCCTCAAACCCAAACCCCCTACAAACCTACACCCCTATAATCCTATAACCCTTAGAACATCTTAGAACCCTATACCCCCTATAGCCCATTCTTAAAAAATTGCCAGGCTCTGGCTTCCCCAAGAGCCTGCATTGCATCGGCTTCCGCGTTGAGGTCGGCGTACCTGGTGCTGAGGTGAAGGGTTTGGGGTGATAGGGTTCCAGGGTTGTAGGGGTTGTAGGGTTCTAGGGTTCTAGGGGTTGTAGGGGTTGCAGGGTTGTAGGGGTTGTAGGGTTGTAAGGTTGTAGGGTTGTGTCAGTTTATAGGGCTATAGGGTGTGGGGTGTGCTGGGTTTAGGATTGAGGCCAGGGGAGAGCGGCCTTGGTCTGGTCGTCTAGGCTGTGTCAGGGTGATGGACTTGGCGATTTGGGGTCTCTAGAGACCCGCCTGTTGCTGAGACGGTCCATGGCCTGCGCATTGTCCGGATCCTCCGTAGCCAGGGCCTGAGGGCGTTTGGCCGAAGCCCTAAACCCTTGAACCGGCGCAGAGAAAAGCCCAACTTTCCCAAGGAACATCGAGGGACTTTGTACAACTGACTTGGGGGGGGGGGCCTGTGACAGGGAACCCCCACCCCCCTCAAAAAAAAACTCATGCCCCGCACCTCCCCCCAACCCTAAACCTACTTACGGCTTAGGGCACGACACGCCGTGCGAAGCATTCTTGCAGCGGCGAAACTTAGAGTAGCAGCCCTCCATTTGCCCACGGAACAAATTCAAGCCGCGATGTCTCAACCATGCCAGCCTGGCCAGAGACACTGCCATATACGCTTAGACGCTCCAAAAGTAACCGTCACTTTCAAAATTGTTCTTCTACCTCGCCAAATCCAAAGGGGTTTAGACCCTCTGCCCTAAATCCGAAAATCCGTAAAAAAATGCGAGCCCCATCAGCCCAAAACGCGATGAGCGCTAATGATCCCATGAGCCCTGTACTGCCCGTAAGCCGTGTAAGCCCTTTAACTCCCATCAACCAACCTCATGAGCCCGAAAACCCCATACAAGGTATATCATCCCTTTGCGCCCCTAAACCCTAAACCCTATACCCTGAAATGCCCAAAGACATCAGCACCCCCACCCCCCCACCCCCACCCCCCCCCATGAACTCCACAAACCGTCATCCCTACGCCCGGTGTCAGGCAGCATCCGCCTCCATCTCGTTTTGGACCTTCTCCATCTCTTGAAGAACAGCCTGGCATGGCCTAACCCCTAAACCCTAAGCCCTGAACCCCAAGCCCTTTAAACCCTAAGCCTAAGCCCTAAATCCTGAAGGACCATGAAGGGTTTTGGGGGTGTTTCGGGTTCAGGTTTGAGGGTAGAGATGCAGGTTGGAGGCCCATGAAGGGCTCAGAGGGACTTCGGGGTTTGTGGGTGCTCTTCTCAGGCTGAGCCTTGGGATGCCAGGTGGCTTCAGGGCTCAGGGTTCAGGGTGTAGGGCTAGGCCCTGACGCCTGAACCGCAAGAAACCTCCGGAAACCCTTAGGGAGTCGTGGGGAGCATTAGGGAACCTTGGGTCAGGCGCCCCCCTTGACCTCCGTCAATACTTCGAAGGGGCGCTAAACCCTTTAAACCTTCGACCATCAGCCCTCACTTAACAAGTTTGGGGTGCAGGGACTAAGGGTTAGGATTTTGCGACCTTTAGGGGTTTAAGATTAAAATGCGGAGTTCGACTTTCTAGGTCCTCCCAGAAGATCTGGGATTGGGAGGATCATGGGCATTTGGGAAGAAGCAGAAGCCAAAAGAGCGAACCACGGGAACGAAGCAAACTGAAAAGAAGCACCTTTGCTTTTTTACTTGTGATTTTGAGCGCTTCATTCTCGTGATTATTGCATCTACTGGTATGTAATTCATTCAGAGAACGACAACGAATCCAGTGGACACGCTCGGCAAGAAAACAATTTATGTTCAATGCTTGTTTTTCAGAATGGAGTTTTGAATCGCATGTCCACTCACTACCTTGGCCAAGCCGGTCACAAGCCGGTCAACAAGCCGAAACGGAACCCCCCCATGAGTCCATCCCACAAGTAACGGCTAACCTTTACAACGGGAGCATGGGAAACTTCTTGAAGCAGGTGTGGGAATGATTGGAGGATTTGATCTCTTCTTGTTATACCAGGTTAGCAAGCCCAGGAAACAAAGCAGCTTAAAGAGCATTAATTCGCCGAGGCCTCGGGCCGAAGGTGTCTAGGTTGTCAGAACAAGCACCCCCCTCCTAATCCTCCCCCCAAGCCCAAAGCCACCTTTTTCTGCCTGAAAAGGGTACCCCCGTGGGCGACCACAATCTGAAAGCGGACGGTTCGCAGGAGCAAGGTTGAAGCCCCGCCTAGCAGGACCCCCCCACGCCGTCCCCCCCCCCCCCCCCCGCCCCTGCCACCACCCCCCCCCTCCTTGAGAGGCCTGGCTCAACTTTACGATCAATCCAAGCCGAACCGTCTCAACCCTCAACCTTGAACCTTGAACCCCAAACCCAAAAAAAACCCTCAACACCCTAAACCCCAAACCATAAATCATAAACCCGGAACCCTAAACCCTAAACCCAACCCTTATTGCTTGGGGTCCAGCGACTTGGGCGCTGCGGAATCACCATGCTCACGCGGATGCGCTGGGCCGGGCCGAGGCGGGTCGCGTAGCGTCAAAATTAGTAGACTCTGCGCGAGGTTTCTAGTTCTAAAGAGAAGCACTCTCCACTTAGTTCATACTCACCTCCGCATTAATCTTGCCCCTTTGGACTAATCGCGAAATGACGAGGAATCAATCAACGTTTCCACTCAAGATGTGAAGCATGAGAGCCCTTTCCTTCTCAAAGGCGGGCCCCATCACGCTGGAAAGTTAAGAGAGAAATGCCAATGAATGATAAGTGTAAGACCCCACGTAAAGTGGTGGATCTGCAAAGGACCTTCGGGTGGATTCTGGTTACAAGCAGGATGCGACAGGGATATGGTTGTAAAGTTGCTCGGGGCTGTCTCTAGGAGCTAATCTGTTGGGTCGTGAAGGTGACTGAGAGGATGGGACAATGACGGGGGGACAGGGGCAACTTGTAAACCCTAAACCCTAAGCCCTTACCCTGAGCAAGGAGCCTGCTTCTCGGGCAGCGCCGCCAGGAGCTCCTCTCTGAGGGTCCTCTCCGGGTCCAGTTCGTCCACAAAGCTCTGCCTGGGAGACATTGTACTCCGGAGTTTGGCTAAACCCTAAAGCCTCATCATGACCCCGAAGGCCCCCCCCCCCCCCCAAAAAAAAAAAAAAAAAAGTAGCCCTCAGAAAAAAAAAAAAAAACACCCCACCCCACCCCAAAAGGTGACCATTCCCCAACCCCGAGATGCCCTCAACCAAAACCCTCGCAAATATGCAGGCTCGGGACTTCGACTGCTAACTTTGTAAGGCTCGGTAGCAAACGTCAGTAAGTGGTTGGAGTAGTTTTTGGTTGGGAGGTTTAGGCCCTTAAATATGAACCCTCTCAGGCTTTGGGGTCGTTTAGGGATTGGGGTTTGGAAGCATGTTCATAGCCAGGATGCTCCAAGACCGCCACTCTGGCCTTTGCCGGACCTTCAGTCTGTTTGGCACACAGGGTTTCGGGTCTAGAGTTTCAGAGTTTCGGGTTTAGGCATCAATGCTGAGATCTGGGAAAGTTGTTCGAAACTAGGGTCCGGTGAGGAGTCTAGTCTTACAAAGGAATTTATAAGACAGCTGTATGGTGTATAGACGGGGACCCTAGACCGTCCCTAGAACCTATTGATGTACAGAGAATGTGGGGGGTGCGCTGCTTCAGAACAGACCTTGACACCTAAACCTTACAACCCGCGTATGAACCGCTCCTAAAGATGCACTTTGCCAAGCGGGCTATGTGCTTTAGTCTGGGGGTTCAGTGCTCAGGGTTCAGCTTGGGCATGGGCCGGCAGCTTCAACAATGCGTTCAGGATCTTTACAGGCTGCTTCTGAGGCTTCTGGACTTCGGCTACTCTTTGAAACCTAATCCCCTTGACCGCCCCCTCGAACTCCTTAAGCCCCGTAGCCCCCAAACCCCCTTCAACCCTGCAGCCCTTAACGCCCCAAACCCTAAAGCCCAGAGGATCAGCGTCTTGGTGCGCTGTCGGCTTGGCTGCCGGCTCTTGACCACGTCGCCCTGTTCGGGCGTCAGCCTGGGCAAGACTGCGCGACACATTAAGCGTCCCATAAAGATCCCCCCCCTGCAATTTTTTGAGGGTGCCCCCCAATATCTGAACCCTCATTCAACGGAACTGCAACATGCTCTGAGGTTTCAGACAAACAGAGGAAGCAGTAATCATTGCAACGTGGCACCCCGTGTATTCCTTTAAACGGGACATGTGCCTCCGACGGTTTAGGGTCTAGCTTTCGGGTTCAGGTCCAATGCCTCTTCAATGGCAGTTTCGCTCAGGCAGAGGTCTAAGCGCTGGAATCCCAAGCCTGACTACTCAGCCCGTGCTCATCGAACATGTGCAATAAAGCTTAAAGGCTTAGGGCTTAGGGTGTCACCCCTAAAGTCCCCTAACCCCGACATGCTACACCCCCATACCCCCAACCCAAAGTCCCTGAACCCTATCAAATCCTGGAGCCAAGCCCACTCCCCACACACACACACACACACACACACACACACACACACACACACACACACACACACACACACACAAAAGTGCCGGGCTGGTTCAGAAGAACCCGCAGCTGCGTCGTCTTGCCACATCCTCGCAGAAGGGCGAGTGGTGTTCAGGGTTCACGGCCTCCCTAAACCCTAATCCCTGAACCCTAAACCCGAAACCCTGATGCTTTGTGGATGGCCGGTTTTTTTGGTGTGCTGGGAGTCTGACCTTAGGTGTCAGTGCTGCCTGGAGAGATTCGAGACTGGGGTTTAGATTGACTGCAGCTGTGATACTTTTAGCCTGAGGTGTAGTGCTTATGACTTGGGATGTTCCTCCTCTATTAACAGTCCTTAAGAGGGATTATAATAGGGGGTACGATAATCCCTATGACGGACTGTGAGCATAAGGGGTAACATCCCAACTTATGGCCCCAAATGAACATGTTGCGAGAATCGGAGGAAGCCCCAAGCCTCCAGAAAGCTCCAGGACTTTCTTTCCTCCCTCACAAGAACTCCAGGGCTAGGATTTAGGGTTTATCAGAGTTCAGGGTTTAGGGTTGGACCCGTGAACCACATACACACACCTTTAAACCCATGTGCTCCAAGCAACCCAGGAATCGAACGGACACCCTCTTTTGGGGTTTGTTAAAAATTTTAAAAGGAGAAGAAGGAAAGCCCAAAAAAATCGTAAATCTCCCGAACCCGATCAGCCCTACAGCTTCTCCCTTAAGCCCCTACACCTAAAACCCTAAATTCTCCCTAGCCCAAGCCCTAAAAAAGCTCAGGTGAACACCTAGCGACCGGCAACCACTCGACCCCTAAAGAACCCTGGAAACCACCAAAAAACCCAAGAACCCCAACAAAACCCCGAACCAAAAGAACCCCAAACCCGAAGAACCCAAACTCGGCCACACAGCTCTGGGCTCTCTGCCATTGGCACCCACTAAGGCCAACTTCTCACCCGACTTGACCGTCCAGGAAGCCTTTGATTCCGCTGTGTTCGTTGGCTGAAAGTTTGGGGTGGAACCCCTCATTATGAGGTGCACCTAGGGTTCAGGTACCAAACAAGAAGCGCTTGGAAGCCCTAAACGGTATTCGACCTTGTGAC